GTTGCCGCCCCTTTGGCCGTACAGTCAAAAAAAAAAAAAAAAAAAAAAAAAAAACAAACATACATACATTCTTTTCTAATTCTAATTTAAGAACTCTAAGACTTTTCGAGAGCACATCCAGAACTCTTTGTTTTTTGTTTTAAAGCGGATAATTTCACACAGATAGATAGTTCTATGTTCGTCGTTTTCGCGAATCAAATTTTTAATGATTCATCATGTGAACTGGATCGGGCCACAGGCTTGAAGCTGTAATTACGTAAAAACGACACCGAACGTATATCTGACAATCGCTCCGCCCCGATATTATAATTATTGGACTTACACATTCACCAGCTGTAAACAAGGTATTAATCTGTAACGCAACGGCCGGTCCGGTTAATAATATGGACGGTTCAAATAGGGAAATACTCCTAAAAAATAAAAGTAAAGACGAGAGAATAATATGTACATCTGAAAATCGATCTCATCAAAATGCATGATCATTATTACAATTTAAATATTCAAGCTGACAGAATGTGCCACGAAAGTATTAGTCGATGTTAAACGTTTACTTATAATCTACGTAATGATGCAGATTGCTTTATAGAAATGAAGTGGCTATACAACAACAAGCAGCAACACATGATTTGAACCACTTAAATTACTTAGATCACGTGGAAAAAGATAAATATATGACGCAGTAGACCACTGTTATTTAGATCGTGGATCGTCGATACCGGTATTAACCCAGACCGGTGGCATGATGCGACGACGACGACGAGCTAATAATACGGAAAGTTTAAACGGAGAGAGCTCCCCCTAAAAATGCATACATCGGACAAGCAAACCCGTCCGGCGTGCTCTTTCGCCCAGGTCGCAGGCAGGCAAGTAAGCAAGCGTACAGGCGGTGGAGAGACCACTCTTGTCGGAGGTGCTGCGTAACTTACGTCTCTCAAGTACCGCGGCAAAGCCGCGGCGGCGTTACGTATCGTCGGTAGTAGCACACTAGCGTGACAGTATGGTGCAAAGGACAGAGTCCGATGCCGAAGAGAAGACGATGAAAGACAGAGGAACAAAGAGAGACGACTCAAGTAAGAATGAGGGAGATAGTCAGGCAGAGAGAGAGAAAAAGAAAAAGAAAAAGAAAAAGAAAGAGAGGAACAGAGGAGTGGTATAGATAGAGCGCAACACACTCGAATAGACGAAGACCGGTTGAAGAGAGAAAGAGAGAGAGAGAGAGAGAGATAGAGACCGTAGATACCGTACGTCCACGTAGCAATGCGCACATGTACATCGGAGGAGCAAAGCGGTGGGCACATACCCTTCTAAGCACAAGCCTAACACACCCGTGGAAGCCCCTTCGGCCGATGAGCGCTGGCGCCCCTTAGCCCCTCGCTCTCTACGCTGTACTACCCCTCTCCCTCTCTCCCCCTCCGCCCTACCTTCATCGTCCGGAAAGGTCCCTGCCGCCCGTTCCCTCACCCTTCCCCCTCCCCGCGCTACCGGATGCCCGACAGCAGCCCCTTACGCCCCTTTGAATCTCTTGCCGCCCCCCCCTCTCCCCCTGCTTTTCCCCCCTCGAGTTACTCGTCCAACGGCCCCCTCGATGTACTGACGGTGACAGACCCTACCTTACCGCCGCCGCCGCACTGAACCGAGTGGGGAGGGGCGAGGGGGAATCGACGAGGGCGCCGGGAACGAGCGAAACAGGAACGCGAAAGAGCGAGAGCGAAACGGAGATAGAGAGAGAGACGACCACGAGTGAGGAAGGGGGAGGGGACGAGGGAGCGGAAGGGAGGGGGAGGGGGGTTGACGCGCTCGAAGAGGGCCGCTGGGGAGTGAGAGAGCGGTGCGGGTCGTCGAAGGACTGTGGCGAGGGGTTTCAGCGGGAGAGAGGGAGGAACCGACGGAAGGGGGATGAGTTGACGGCGAGTGAGAGAGTGGGGTATGGGTGAAGCGCGGTAGTGGTGTGAGGCTCTCTACCGTGGGTCTGGGGTGAGGACACCGGAGAAGAGAAGGAAGGGAGGGGGAGGGGGAGGGGGTACGTTGAGGCGTGGAGGCGGCGGCGCGAGGAGAAGAGGAGGTCGTCGCCGCGTCGCCAGCCGCCAGTTCGCCGTGAGCGTTCGTAATGCGAGGACAGTCTGTGATCACATCAGCGAGCGCGGAGCAGTCTCACCTCTCGCTTTAAACGACACAGAGAGCGAGCGAACACGCAGGCGACAATCGTGCGGTCGATTTTCCTGATTCTCGGAAAGCGAGCAAGATCGGACGACCAGAGCGCGGAGGCTTTCTCGGCTCATCTTTTTACGATCGAGCCGTCAGACGGGCGCCCGTTCTAACTTCTAAACACGAGGATACGGAACGTGCAACGAGGATCGGCAACTTCCGAATTTAGATTCCGTTCTTCTCTTCACTTTTGTGGAAGAATTCGATACGAATTCGTTCGAACGGAGTTGAACGATTCGGATGACGTGTGTTCGATCCGAGTGATCCAGAGTTCGGAACGAATCAGCTGATCGCGATACCGTTTCATCGGTTTAATGGACTTTGTGGAGCTGCCTTGTGCGCGCCTCTTGCATCGTCACGAAAGAGAAACAGAAACAGTAATACGGACAACTGAGTAAGACGCGCGTGTGAGAGGTGTAAGTGAAAGAAAGGGGATATAACATAAAAAAACGGTGAAAGAAAAACAGACTTTTCTCAGTTTGAAGTGTTGAGACATTCTTCCAGTTGTTCCGGTAGCGCGCGGGCTTGTTTTAATTTCGCGCGGCACCGACACCTGCTACAACTGCAACAACTGCGCGGAGGGGGGAAGGGTTTTATCGCGGAACTTTCGTGGCGCCGCTGTGTACCGTGTGGTGTGCGCGGGGTGAGAGCTTGAAGTTTGCGAGCGTAAGGTGGGACGGAGTGCAACCGTGCGCGCGCGCGTGCGGGATAAAGAAAGAGAGAGACAGGGAGTAAGAGAAAGACAAAAACGAAACACGATACTCCGAGAAAGTTTACTCGCGACGTGCCGGTCGCGCTAGAGAACACCTCATTCTCTATATGCGAGAGTAGGATCGTACCACGCGCCAGAAGAAGCCGTCAGGCGGAAGCGAAGAAAGGAGACAGAAGAGGAAACGACGGGAACGGTAGGGACGAGAAAGAGAGTGCGTCACCGCGTGCATTCGTCTATCGTTGTCACTCTCGCGCTCCCCCCGCCTTTGTGTTCCTCGTGATTGTCGCCGTGCCTTCGCCTATGGCTTTTCAGAAGCAGAGAAAAACAGACGGAATAGCGAAGGATAGAGAGACAGGAGGACAGAGGCGGACAGGCCGATAGAGACCGTCGAGGCAGATATTTCTCACTAAGGGGGAACAGAGGGGGCATCCCGGCAAACTGAGTATGTCCGCCAAGCGAAAGTCCACTGCCATCATGCAGCACCACAAGGTGAGTCCGTAATCACACATACACATATTTACGCACGTACACATACACGTACATCCCAGACGTACGTTCATATCGCCACGTGATATATCGGTACTTTTTCACCGCGAACGGGAGAGAATGAGGCAGCTCGGTGAGCCGAGTTATATATATTTATATGTATATAGACACACGGATAATATTTTTCCGGCTTATCGGCACGAAGGAGAAACGTTGGACCACCGACGAAATAATGAGTCGTTGGGTTCAAGGTTAAAGTTCCTTGCGAGAACATTAAACGAGGGAAAGATACGTTCAGGTAGCGAGAGATTTATTTTATTTTACATTAACCTTGACGATGCTAATTTTACTAGCTTTCCTCTTTTCTTCCCTTTTCCCTTCCCTTTCCCCATGATGCGTGACGAATGACGAATTTTTTTCAGCGAAAGCTCAAAAAGGTCAGAAACAATCGCACGTTCCGTTAACGGAACTCGTTACTACGCGCGTGGAACCTAATTTTTTTCGGAGCGCGAGAAGATAAACTGCGGAAAAGTTTTAATTGAAAGAGTTGTGTAAATCCCGTGCGGCGGCGACGACATGATGAGGTGCGGTGAAGTGCACCGAGAATTCAAAAAATTGTTCCCGTGCCGTTTGTATTCCGCGCAGAGCTCGGCATTACACGCGCCAAATTACTCGAAATACATCGTGCAACGCGTTGCTTCTCGTCGACTTTTATATCAGCTCTCGCTCGTCTAATTATAATATTTACGCGATACAAACGAGAACTTTCGCACAATCAAGAAAAAATGATTTTTCGTGGCGTAAAAAACAGCCCGTAATAATAAAGTTCGTTATCTTTTATATAACTATTACTCCGCTATTTCTGTCTGCGTTTTATAACTAATCAATAAAATTTTTGAGCGATAAAAATATTAAATCCCACAACACTCCACTTTCTCCCAAAATCATCAAATGATCTATTATTTAAAAAAGTGTAGTTAAAATTAAATGTTCTAAAATATACCTATCTTACATAATAGCAATTTAATAGCGGTAAATAAAGGACAGTACAATATTTAAATTTTCAGATTGTATAATAAATTTTTCTTCCAATCTACTAATCAAAGTATATCTACTAAATTTTTTTTTAATTTATTCACGAAAGTATTTACTAAACTTTCTTACAATCTATGTAATAATTTTAATTTTTTGCTATTTATTTTTTGCCGATATTCCTCACTTTTATAAGTATAATTACGCACGTATCGATAATGTTTATACATTAATATGCACGCTTGACATGCACGTGGAGAGGTCAGCGATCGTCTCTTTAAGTCGCGTTCGTGTATCATAAGTAAATAATTTCCACTTCTTCGGAATATCACTGGGAGTATCGACGGACGATCATCGCGTGAACCTCGATGACACACGTCCGGCGCGAATCGCGCAATTCAATGGCGAACTCAGTCGGATCGCACTTATCTCGCGATTTTTTTCTCCTCAATCGTAGCAACCGAGTCAGATTAGACCTACATATCTAAATGAAAGATAATCCCCGGATGGTATTTTCGCGGCGAGAAATGTGTCCCGATTCGCGCACGTGCTCGCCGTCCGCCTTATTGCCTTCAATTAATTATGGGATATATTTATTATTATTATTTTCATCTTACATAAAAATTATGTACATGTAATTTATTCTCTGACATAAAGTCTTTCGTAGTCTAAGACAATAATTCGATAAATGCATATTGAAATAAAAAACAAATTATTGGTAATCAAAATAATTTTGAATTATGAAATGCAATATAAAATATAACATATATATATAATAGATTGAATAATAAGATTGAGGAGTCGAGATAAAGAAGATTTTTGATATCAATTTAATATTACCTCTCGTAAATATATATATA